ACAACAGGTGTCTGTCAGAATGCCAACTCGAGCGCCAATTTTACTATTTATCAATTTGGCATCGATGTTAAAACTAAGATGCAATTCAATTTGCTTATATAACAAACAACAAACTTTCTAGAGAAGTCTCCAATCAGCGTATCATATTTCAGAGTCACATCTCCAATCATGACTTATCGCCGATGACTAACTGACCTATGTTATCGACTTGATGGCGCCTTATATCTCTCTAGGCCTAGAACAATGAAATAGCTGTTACATTGCACAATATGTTTGCATAGATTGGAAACCTTGCATATCAATTTAAACGTTCGCCCCTGAACATTACTTACGAATATTAATATTATTTGATAAATATTACACTGGATTGTAACAGCAATATTACACGATATAGCCAAATATAAGTAATAAATTAAATAGCTAATTTTTAATTTAATTTTTAATGGATTCGAATAAGCACAATAATTAATTGATTGAGAATGAGAATTTATTCCGCAACACATGGAATGAAATTAAAACAAAATTCCTGAAAGAAAGAGAAGCTTTCAAAGCTTGTTTCGACACACGTTCGATAATGAAAAATTGAAATAATTATTAATTAAAAATGGGTATAGGAAAATTTACACATATACCACTTTATAACGAACATGAACGAAAGTATGTCTGGAAATAAAAGCGATAACAACGTCTGCATTTTCGACAAAGGCTTTTGAGATAAAACGCTAGTAAAACCGGATTGTAATGGTGTTTTAGGCAGACGAGGCGAGATTTTCAAGAGTTAGCACGTATAAATTATGTGTGAGAATTTAACTTTACACAAAAAGATGAAAGGCATTGGTAGCCTGATTCGTAGTACGGTCGTTTATTTACGAGTGATAACATTCGCGCGAGAGAACATTTTCGAATCAGAGAACCGTGTTTCAAATAAAAACCGAGATTAAATAAACTAACATTAAAACTCATAAACAAAGAAGTTTTTTTGGACCGCTAACAGCAACGGTTGGTTAAAAGCCTCGGATAATGATTGTGCGATAGCGGAACATTGGCTTATTATTCCTGTGCATAATCACGAGCCCGAGTGTTACTTTCTCTAAATTGAAGGCGGTTTGCTTAGATTCGCAATTCATACGAACCTTTCTTCTGCCAAACTTTGCATTCATCATGAATATAACGTTACCAGGGTGGAGCAGAAAGTCAACTGTACCATTGAATCGATCTGTTTTCACACTTTTAAAGATAGCGGCATTTTCATAATTTTTTACCAGAAGAGAATATTACCCACGTCAATTACTGTAAAATATTATAAATTTTTTGATTTGTATTTTAATATTCCTAAAGGAATCGACCCGTGAAAATTATTTGCATGAAACAGATCTTGTATTGTATTTATTGATAAGAATCGGATCCAAACAAGGGATTTTGGTTATTTTGCTCCATTGATTGAGAAATTTGCATTTAATTTTAGTGTTACCATCCCTTTGGTTAGACTAAAATTTTGTTTAGCATTTAGAGATGTGTGTATATTTTGAACAGCGAGTTATATAAAAGAAATTAAAACCATTTGGTTAATAAATAAATAAGTATTGTATTATTTACCATGTATGTTGTGTAAATTTCGCCATGCGGGCGTTTTGTATGGTACCGGCACTTGCAGTGATGATAAGTCACCCTGTATTTTAATTTAAATTTTTAATTTGACGTTAAAACTTGGCTGTAAATTAGGATTAAGCGTAATTCCGACCATGTCATTCGATAATGTTGTTAATTTTATTTTAATAATTGTTTTGTTTATTTTATTTTGGTAATTTTAAATTTAAATGACATTTACTAAGCACGTTATCGCCGAGTAAGCAGCTGTTAATTCTTTCGAAGACGCAGTATATTGTTAAGGAAGGAGCAACGGGAGTGAGAAAGGTAAATTGTTTTAAAGGGCAGAGGAAGACTTTAGTCGTGGCTTCTTTGGTGGTGGACGTTTGAAACGTAGCCGTTTGCTTTGGCGTATTGACGAATTGGAGCGTATTCGACAAGACAGTCTGTCTTGTATAATTGTGTAGATTAAAGCTAGAGAGTGTTTAAAGAATTTTATTTACGTCGTGATAAAAGTGGACGATAAGTCGAGCTGAACGGGGGATGTTTTTACGTTTGCGAGGTTTAGCTGGAATGATGATGTTATCGAGTATTTGTTTGCTGAAGAGAAGAAAAAGAAATTAAAGGGAGTTGTTCCAACATCCAAAATCGCAAATTATAAATTAATTACAATTTAAATCGTGTTTTATGAGCTTGGGTTGTGTGTGAGTACGTCTGTTTGTTGAAAAATGCAATTAAGATCGGATGATAGGTATTATGTAACTTAAGGTAATTAAAACTTTGTTTAAATTTAATTTGTTTAGTCAATCGCGTGTTGCGTGGTGCATGTGTAACCTGGCCCTGAGTGTCTATTTTTATTTTATCGTTGATTGATTTGTGAAATACAGTTATTTTGTCTGTAAATGTTTAGTCTTATGTTTAAGCGATTCCAAATTACGACCTTTTTTCTAACTCTTGCAGTACAAATTGATTACAGAGGAACCTTAGCGTTTTACTTCACATTACTTTTATCCATTTGGACATATATCAAACGGTGTTCATGATTACCCAACATACGAACGTTTTCCTACATTTTTTTGATGAGTTACTTTGTCATCACACATCTATGACATTTTGTATTACAAAAACGTTGTACTTAACATGATTACCACCGCAAATCAGTTTTGGTGCCTATTTAATGTACCACCAACATACGGCATATACTAGAAAAAGACAGCAATATTAAGCAATTCTTAAACAGTCATAGAAATCCATGCCACTTATGAAGTGACCCATTTAAAATTTTAAAATTAATGTATAGGTACATAATAAGCGAACGAATGAAAATCAACCTTCCATAAATTCCACATTTTAAAACGCAGATTGGGGTGGTTAGGTTGTCAAAGGATCACAACTTGTAAAAGTTGAATAAAGATATATTGAAAAATTATATATAAATTCGCATAGAAATGTAATTTTTCGCACGTCAAACACAAAATATGATTTTGATCTCTTGTTCGTCTCTTGAGAGTTGTCTTCAATAAAAATAGTCACTTTATTACGGCAACAGCGGGGCGATTGATGAAATCCAATAACAGCTGTACTTCTTATACCAAGCCTATGATTTCTTACTTACTTTGCATAACAATATAAGGAATTGCCTTGGATGTTACTTTATATACAGGTATCCTCAATCTTTTCAACCCGGCGCGACGCACGAACAAAAAGATTATTTGCTCCTTTGAACGAAACATTTTGACAAGTCCTTCGAGTACAACCGAATTAATCATTGCTCAACGCGAAGTGAGACAAAAACAAGTATATCTCCGTTATAAATTTTCTAAACGAAGACAGGTCAAAGTAGTTAATTTTCTTATGCAGAACGAAAGTTTCCCGTTTCTATCAGTTTCCTTAAACAAAATTACCCCAAAAGCCAATAAAATTTAATGCCGCGTTCAAATCATATAAATTTGTATTTTATGTATTGCATAAAATAAAACAAACTTGAGATAGCACCGGATAATCAAGAGTCGTAACACAACTCAAATCAAAATCGATGTTTTTGGTTCGCATTTGCATCCGAGAATTCGGGATGTAATCCCATAAAACCATTTACTTATGATGTATTGAAGCGCCGGCTCCTCGCATAGACTTGTGGCGTCCGGACGTTCCAAACAAAATTAATCATAAAGTATTGCCTCCATTTTATAGTAATTATAAGTTGTATTTTATGTTTTCCCTTCTATAACTTATTTTTCTTGTGATGATGTTTCTAGTTTCCAGTTATTTAAAACTTAACTGCGAAGGAAACGACCATAATTTCAATTTTAATATTTGTAGCCATAATTTCTTACGCCGGAACGAAATATTTTCAGATGTAAAATGTAGCGATGGAAATGTTCTTAATTGAATTATCTGGCTATCACGTAAGGCGGGCCTTTTCGTCAGTTTTCAGTTAGTAGAGGGAGTGGAGTTAATGTGATTTTTCATTGAATGGAAAATCTAGCAGCCGTAAAAAAGGAACACACGTCGAGGAGCTGATAGTCATTTACCATTTATTACCTTAAAAGCGAAAAAGAACAAATAACACCCATTCAACATTTAAAAAATATATTAGCAACATTCCTTTTCTTACGAATCTGTGATTCTCCACAGTACACTTCATCGCCTTTAGGTGCTAATATGGAACCACTTATACACTATTGCTATAGTGCATTCCATGTACTACCCCACCGTCTATTCCACAATCTTCATTCAAAGTTCACTTCATTTCGTCGTAAGTGAGGTTACATTACCCCAAATTTCATGATTGTTTTTCAGTTGGTACTGGGTGTTCTTAACATTCCTGAGTGCCAACTTTAGTTAGTTTCTTAAGAGGTTATGTTATTTTTCCACGATTTAATTAACTTTAAACAATGATATACAATGTTTTTAATTATACCATAATAGCAGTAAGTAGTTCTCTACATCCTACATTGCTAAGCAGCGATCCATGGAAAATGCGATGATGTTCCTTCCCCTCTCGACCGTATTAGGCGGTGGATGCTAAGCGGCGATCGATACGAAAAAGGCGTTCCAAGTTAAGCAGCGATCGCTAACGTAGCTGCGATCCATGGAAAATGCGAGAGATGTTCCTTCCCCTCTCGACCGTATTAGGCGGTGGATGCTAAGCGTCGATTCATATGAAACATGCAGGAAGTGTCCGGGTTTCCCCTCTCGGTGATCGATACCAAGAAATTTTTGCCACATGCAACCTTCTCTACGACATCCTTCTTCCCTAATGCATTCAAGTTTAGACTGTATAAGCTTCAAAAAGTGGTGTTATTAAAATGTCAGTCACATGGAAGTGTCGCTTATTTGGTGTTTAAGTCAAACAAAACCTAAAATTGTATTGTATATGTAACATTCAATTTCATTAACAGCATGTAATTTGGGTTGCATATATTTCCGCGAAATTCAAAATTTAAACATCTATCTTGTGGGGGGTTATCAGGTCACATTCTTCTGATTGTGATATACTTTACCTTGACCAATTTTGGACACTTTTGAAGCTAATCTTCATCGTGGTAGTTGCTACAAATAATTACATAGTTAATTATCGTTATTGTTACGGATTAAGTAAGCTACTTACGTTATTTCAAGAGGCTCTTTAGTAGTGTTGTTAGCATAGCCCTTGAAAATTCTCATTATTTTGGGATTTAGAAGATTCAGCTGGTAAGGGTGTGGTCGCCACGCTAAAAATTACTTAATCGTTAATAATTTTAGGTAGCTTTGGATGATACAGCCGTTGTAACTATATACATCATAATATTAGTACAATTATTTAGTTTACTTAAGAGCAAAAGCCAGATCCTTCTGGGTTAGTATTAATCTCATAATCACAGTAATCTTACAGATTCTATTTTAGCTTTTGATCCAAGTTTTATGCTACCAGTTTTATGACAAATTTAGTAACCAGATTCGCATACCCGTTTTGTTTTTCGTTAAGACCCGAACATCTTCCCTGTCAACATTTATCTACTCCGTATTCATCGATACCATCGCTGGTTCCAGCTCTGGGGAAAAAGAAAATAGCTTTACACACTTTGAAGAACCATTTATGTACTCACCGGAATACGTGTAAATAGAATCTCTGAGCAGGGGTAAGAGTAAGAGAGGCATGGCACATCACTATCCATCTTGTATAATTTCATAATTACGTTCAATAAATTCTTAAGGTTTATACTTACCACTGTAAAAGCGTCAACAAATTACCGGTCACTTCCATCATTTTATTTGTTAGACCGACTATTACCCCCTTGAACTACGAGTTAGTAGTTATAATAAGACGCTGTAAAGTAAGCTTACGTTACACCCGCCTTAGGTAAAGCTTTGTCCACCCACTTGTGTTCGCTGCCAAGTTGAAGTTGATTGATTTAATTGTTAATTAGTAATTACTTAGTCATTGTCATAAATCAAGTCATTAATTCGTCATTTGGGTTGTCACATCTTATCATTATCACCTCTTACCTCGCTCGCTTATGCACTACAATAAAATTACTTATATACCCCGTTAAACAGCAGTTTATTATAAAGGTAGTTAGGCCAGCGCGTCCTGATAATTCTAAGGACGTCACTTCACTGGCTGTAGAATTTGGCGCCCTTAAAATATATTATTTTACGACCCCGCCCAGAGCTAGCTGGCGCAGGGATTACATCGCCTTACCATCCTTATATGTATACAAATATTATTGTGTGGCTAAATTTAGGTTACATATATTATATATGTTGTACTACTTTTATTACATTCTCTTAATATACACGTTAAACCCAACATATTTCATTTTAGTAGACGAAGAAGTTAACATAACCTCCTACAAAAATTTACTGTCACCTTTGTTTATTAGGGGAAAAAGAGCTGTCACATAAAATTTTTCAGTTTCACCAACTTAAGAATTACAAAATATACGTAAAATAACACCAGATTTCCAGAAAATGAGGTGAACTTTTAATTAAGATTGTGGAAAATTTAGGCCCTCTTCCGCAAATTTTTTTAATCTAAACGTGTTATTAAGGTGTCCTCTATCCATTTCTATCAATTTCATGATCATACCTGGGGGGATTATTAGCGTAACGTACCCGGCATCGATAAATAGTAGTTGCTACTACCTTATTATAACCAAACTTTTACTAAGCTACTTCGGTTTAAAAAAATGACCTTTATCTGCAGAGTTGTGCTCAAGTTATATTGGTTTATCCCGTCTTAATAAGGGTGATTTCTGAGAATAAACCGATAAAAAACCTCAAGAGTCATTAAAATCTGGCGTAAGCGGATGACGTCATATCATGTCACCATCTAAAAAAGAACTACGGGAGTAATAAAAAAAAGTGTTAATTAGCAGTTAAGGTGGGCCTGGGTTTGAATACTAAGATACCGAGTACCTATTATGCAAATTAATGACAAAGAATACTTGAGAATCAAACTTTCAGTGGGAGAAATGATGGGGTTAGAAAAATCAAGGATGTCACCTTCCTGAGACTGTTGATAGCAAATGACAGCGCCGAAGGAATAAAGCTATTATTATTGAAGGGAGATAGATGTGCAGGAAGGTGGTGGTAAAAACATAAATAATAAATAAATAAGTTTCTTTATTCTTATTAACACAAAAAGTTTGTAAATTCCATACTACAGAACAAAAACAAAAAAAAATAATTCTAATTGGATAAGTAGTATAGTAACATTGTAATTAGGGGAAATGGCCCAGCACAAACGAGTTATGCTGCTCTTCGATGGTAGTATAAATTCAACATAAACTTTGGTTTAAAAGTTACAATCTGTAAGAAAATGAATATAAAGATGGTCTAGCTGCAGTTGTGTTAAGGATTAATTTGATTTTTTTTAAGTTTAAATTTCACTTTTGACAAAGTGTAATGAGAAGGATGTTATTATTTAATAATTTTTATGAGAGATTCCAGAGATGTGTTTTCTAATATCCAGTTCTGAAGTTGTCTATATGTACGTGGACTTCTATCACAATCTTTTAGGTATTGTGGAAGAGAGTTGTAAACTTTTTCTTTTATATCCATGAAGACAAAGTTATACAGCATAACACAATAATAAGGCCTACTTGGAGGAAAAAAAAACGGAGAGAGTGTGGAAAAGAAAAGAGGTAATAATGAACAGAGACGTCTATAAATTTGGAGAAACGGTAATAATACAATTATTCATAAGTAGTGCACAAAATCTCAGATGGCTATAGGTCGTATCGAGAAGAGAGGATAGTTGTAGAACTACGACGCAGTAGTAAAAAAGTGGCAGATTTGAAATGAATGACGCCGAGAACACTGGGACGAGATCAGCGCATAGGGGAAACTATTTGGATTTGGAAGAAAAAGGAATACGCATTACGCAGTGGGAAAAAGTCGAGCAGACTAGATCAAAATCATACATATATGGGTCGAAAAAGCGTGTTAATTTGTATAATAGGAGTACATAAAAGCAGATACCCGCTTCAAATTCTTGGTATTCAACTATTCACTGTTTGGGTTATGGTGCACACTGTGCCCTTACTACATGTTTTATGGCATATATTGGATTTAACGTGAAATTGTAGATAAACCCTCGGCAGTAAACTGTGACGTCCGTTATTTTTACGGTATAATTGTAATCGGAGTACTCCGCTCCAGCTCAAAGTTTCTTGAATCACTCTCTTGGAACGTCGCAAAATGCAGACTTCGCGAATATTCTAGGGTGGTCATAATATGTTTTGGCAGGGCGACGTTCTCTTGATTTCGTTCTTTTTTAAGGTACCTAGTCACTATTTTCATACTTATAAGACAACTTCTTGTTACTCCGAAGTAAACGCTGGTCAGTATCTTAAAAGATGGTCTTCTCCACTTTAATAAGTAATGTGATGTGAATATGTTTTTATTTTTAATACGCGTCAAGAATGCTAACGCCACTGCATAATCGGCAAACTATTTACTTCCATCTTAATCCAAATATATGGTGTATACGTATCTGCGAAAGTTCATCAGACGTACTTGTCTGGCCCAAAGTAGCAGATACGACCGTTCAACACACCACGCACCATTATGCATGCAGTCTTATAAATTGCATCCCAATAAATAAGTAACTTTATATTCCGAATACAATCAACTATCCTACTTTACAGGCAGGCGAAACAATAAAATTACTAAAATATGATTGAGAAATTACTTTTTATTTTGTGCAGAACACGACCTGCAGGTAATAAATATTTCACAAGCACATGTTGGTATTCGTTTACTTAAAAATGATATGATACCACGTCTAAGTTATGCTAAGTACGTTCATAATAATCATAAAGATGTATCGCGAAATAGCTCTGGATGAGGCAAATTTATATTGAGAGGGTAGATAAGAATGTATAATGCATTAGCAACAATATCGTATAATACCAAATTGGTACCTAATTTGCATTAATTTTAATACTTATAGATCGAATTAAGGTGTCAGGTTCTTAATACCTCCACAAAGGAAGCTGGGGGGGTTTGCAGAAAAGCGTACGAAAACATGTATAGGTGACTAGTAGTTGAATTTATACCTGCTATGACTGTTAGATATAATAATTCGTGGTAGGCTTTAGATGTAGTGTGTGTTGGAAGACAATCAATTCAGAGTTTAATAATTGAGTGCTGTACAGAAGTAATTGGTGCTTGATACGTTTCGGTATCTATAGCTTAAATTGTAGCTGATGTAAGTACATCAAATTTCGTTTTGGAATCTCACAGACTGTGCCCACTTCTCGAATACACCAACAATTTCTGTACGGAGACGGGACGGTAGGATCGCAATTTTTAAGCATATTGTTCTCCACGTCGTCGCTAAAACAGCACACAGGGAAATAACCAGAAATATTCTTTAGTAGTTACCTACCAGAACATTCTGGTACAACCAAACTCCGATCCAGTGGTGCGATCTCCCGTGCAGAAGCAGATATTGCACTTATTCTCTTGATAACTTTTATTTAAATCGCATACTACGTCAAGAAGTGCGGTTAAAATTGAAAAGTGTATTGGAATGGCTTACCGAAGGAATCGGCAGAAGTTTCCAAGACGAGCAGCGTCACAATAGCAAAACTGAAAACGTACACTGTGTGTGTCTCCATTGTTGTCTTCGTCTTGGTACGAAGCGTTAGCGTTTATATATATTTTAAAGATCGAGGACAATAATCATTACTATTTATCAGGCGAAATGCGTCGAAAGTGAAGGCTTGGGTTTTTCCAAAATATATATCCTTTTTCAAGTAATAATCGAGTCATACATCATTAATCACGAAGGTGATAACATGCAAGAGTATTTAATCTATTTCTTTTGCAACCACGACTATTGAAAACCGTGATAAGGTATTTTATGTTCAAGGGACATTAAAATTCGATATCAGGTTTCGTAATAGCTATTTGTGCAACCAGTTGGGAAAAGCACTATTTTCGTAACGAGCGGAACGTCAGGCCCGACCCGGCGTATCACGGCTCCAAGTGAGAATCCAGACTAAAGACATCACCCTCGTGTTTGTGCCGTGTGAGGCGACCCGTAATAGCGGATGAATGGATCCTGGTAGTTGAGTTACCTGAAGTGGCGGCAACACACTACTTTCGCTTAAGACGGGAGGTCTGACCACATGACGAACTGGCAAGTCACTCCAGAAGCGACTATGTCAGATCATAGATTAATTTCATTTGACATTATCTCCAAGGGAGCCCTCTAGAAGGGTTATCGCAACCCAAAGGCAACGGATATACCCCTTTATAAACATCTCCTTGGAGAAAAACTTAAACACCCCTTCGGGGGACGCCTCTCGGACCCTGCTGACCGAACGAAGTAGATCTTTTAATCAACTCCACTATGGAGTCATTTGAACAGGCATGTCCTCTGAGTGAGGACCGCCAAGACGCCCTATAACCATCCCTGATGGTGTAGGGCGCTGGAGAAGCAGCAAAATCGGTTGGGCAAATTGTTCAATAAGGTAAAGAAGAGCAAAGCTACAGCCGATTGGGAAACCTATAAGGTAAACCTAAGGCTACACGTACAAGAAGGATATTAGAAGGCGCCAGAGTGAGACATGGAAGAGTTTTTGCAGCTCTAGAATCCACCTCCTCTGTATCCCGTCTAAATAAAATTCTAACAAAAAGTTCATTTTATTACCTAGCTAGCCTCAGACGACAGAATGATTCCTACACGGACAACCTCTCAGAGACAGCCAAGGTACTGAGAGATGATCACTTTCCCGACGCCACCACCGCGTCAGAGGTAGCGCCCTTCATTCCCATTGAGAATGACTGGGCGGTTGCCAGTCAGATGGTGGATGATCTTCAGTCGGCCGGCCAGAGATCAAAATTCGTAATAATTTAAAGCCTATTTAATTAAGGAAAAATATTGCAACTTCTTGTATATGGATCCTTGAATCGGAGCCGGTGCTGGGCACGGAGACACCACCATTGGTTGTCGCTGTCAAAACAGAATGGCGTCAAATAAACGTTGTTCGTGGTTTTATTTCCCGAAATTGGAATGTGGTGTTGCTGTTACCCGGGCGGCTAATTCGTTGTAATGATAGAGTTATTCAAAGTAAGTCCGGATTCTAATCAGGGCTACAGGATGCAGCTAATAGTTATTTACATAATAAGTCATGAAAGTGGTCGTTTACATGACGCGGAGGCTTATTGAAAAGTACGAGGACGCGCACGTATTATGTATAAAATTTTACCTGAAACCGCAACATGCAGATAACTGTTCCAAATTAAATTATTCATATGTGTGAAATTTTGATACCTAATCACGCATGCTAAAATCACTTTATTTAGTTGTTTCCATAGAGATTTCAAAATAATTAAAACAATCAGTGTCATTTTTAGTGCAGATTGCAGTTTATGCTTTGTACTTTTCAACTATACAGTCTTTAGAACTAGGTACAAAAGCAGGTATCAGTGAAGAAGAGTACGCGAGACGTTGTTATAATGTAGCCGAAGCTGTGGCCGCCGTAGTGCAATATTCGCTCCCCACAAAGTCAAGAAAGAGGTACGAAAAGGCGTACAAACCTTTTAATAACTAGCGCAAAACTAAAGGAATAATTACTTCCACACACATTCCATTCCTGTTACTAATTAAAAAACCATTATCCTTTGTGTTGGTATATTAATATTTAAAAATATCCACAGAGTCTGCATTATATTTATCCAATCTTTGATTGAATAACTTATTCAATGAACGATCTAATTGTTATTTTGCATGTACTAGGACTGTAATGGTAGTCAGGCAAAAATATTACAGTACTAGTCAGGTAAAGATCAACTTTCTAATGCCAAAATAGCCTTGAAATTTAGATTTTCTTGACGGTTTCAGGTAAAGAAATTTAATACGGGAAGATTTCGTCACGACTTAAATGTCAGGTGTTACTGGACCCTAACAGGTGCATTTAAACAATGAAGTACCCAGACCTCTGTTTACTTAATCGGGACACTATTGACTATTGAGCTCACCCTCTGTTCATCTGGACTGGTCACGTACTGGGTATGCAACCTGTAAGTCTAGTTCTTGGTTGCATTGTTTAGGGTGAGTACGCCTCAAAACACCGGCCGACATTCGGGACACGATCGAACGGGCAACACAATGGAGCCTCTGCAATAACCTCGGCCAACATGCTGCGCTTGCCAGACTCGGCCTTATTGAACTCACACGTAATACCCATTTTAGCAGTGTCGGCAAGTACGTGACGGTACCAGCGATTTCCAACTGACCGTGGTACTTTAGGGTTGTATGTAACGATTTCTCTTTCGATACGTCCTTTTGCCTATTTGATTCAATAGTCTCGCGATTCGCAAGGGAGAGTCATAGTTACTCCTGCCGCATAGTTTCTATTTGTAATGTTATTCGATACGATGAAAAACGGGTATGCCTGGCGTTCTTTGCTTTTTGGCAACACAATACATAATAATACTAAATTTGAAGACGCTCTCAACCAACAGAAATAATAGTATAAGTTGTCACTGGTGTAACTTATGTTAAATTAATATTTAGAATATGACGGAGAATTTATGACCCAATTAACAGTTTAATTCAAGAGATCTCAGACAAAATAACTACTCACGATTGAGTTAAATATCCAAATTATCTAGTCCGGACATGGGAACGCGATAAACAACGAACCAAATACTTTACACAAAGCTGACAGCTTGTATCATTCACATTTGGTCCAACACGTGACATGTAATTCAATAACTTATTTGTAGAGGTTAACCATAAATTATAATGATTTATTGGGCGTTACAATACTTTACTACACTTTAACAAAGCAGAACGACTTCGTCTTCTTAGCTGCGGAACCGCATGCTTAATAACTTCAGGTGCAAGACCTTAAATGTTTTTTATCTGGCGAAAGCTGCTCGTCAAATTTAGCCCAACAATGACATACGATTTTCCAATCCATGCGAAAACAGCCTCGTTTGTTTCCCATTGTTCGTACTTAAAGGTGAATCCACGTCCATTCATAAGTTCCATACCCGAACTCCAAACACCTGCATTCGATATCTTGCACGTGGCCTTGTTAGTAAACAAGGTCAATTAATTTGTTCGATAACGTATTTCTCCAAAACATCTGACCAGGTAAGTCTTTTACCTTACATTGAAGTTATGATTTAGTGTTCCCTCACTCACTAACTACAACAAATACCATTATTTACAATAAAGGAAACTAATGCTATAATGACAATTTAACAAATTTTCCAATTCTGTGTCAATATGAAAGAAATTCATCCAGGTCGTATCAAATAAAATAAAACATTTTACTTGCAGGATGTCTCGACTGCCATTTCCAATGCTTAAACCAAAATTACGTTAACAAAACGTGAATATTTTCAACTACAGGGTGGCTCGCTCTCATCTTTGGCATTATTTCCACCTACAGAAACGACAGTCCTCTGCAGTTTACACCACAATACAGATTATTATTACAAAAAAAGAAAGCCTTTTTCCTCATATTTTGTAATTAATCTGTAAATTGTTGAAAAGATATCAATCTCTACAGGGTGTTTTTTTGGGAGCTTTAGTTAAACGTTTCTGGGAAAGTAAAATAGGTAGGTTTTTGAAAATTTGTACTTAGGAGTTACTCTGAAGACCGAATCTATGTAAAATATTTTCAAAATGGCCGCACTTCCGGAAACACCGGAAGTAGATAGTAACTTCGTTATTTTAAATAGCAACCCCTATTTTTGCATTTTTGGATTCTACGTGAAATTTCACTTCTTTTGATACCCATATGTCGATATCTACCATTTATGGTTTTTAAGTTATTTTGACTTTAAGAAAAAAAAATGGCGGATGCAGATGGTACCTTGATAATTGATTACTTGAAAACGGTTGTAGTCATGGCAACCTATTTTTATCAGTGCATAGAGAATGAATAGGGCTTTCTTTTAGTGCACTTAAAAAAAAGTTAAGTTGCGTACGACCGCCCCTATGGATATCCAAATTTATGAAACTTCAAAGACTAAAAACTCAGTTTTTTTAAAATGGAATGACCATGTTCTTACTATTCCATGAGATAGAGAATCGAAATGGGCATATTTTGACAATACATGTTCCTATAGCTATCTTTAACAGTTTCTGACTTATTCCCATTTTATTGAATTGACACTATTTTTTTCGGATTTTCTTTTTAGTAGTCGGCCATGATTCTATAACAATTGAATTTTAAACAAATCTAGTGACACTAATCCATCACCCACTGTTATAGGTTAACAGTTTTTCAAAAATCGAAAAATGACTCGCAGTGGTTTCACTTATTTTGGAATTTAATTGTTATTTATGGTGAAATGGGCAGAATCGCGGCGCGTGCTTTCCGTACATTCATTCTAAAACTGGAACGAAATTGTATGAATTTTGGAAATTTTGTACCCCTAATGCACTTCAAACGGTTGAAGCACAAGTGATACAAAGCTCTACAAGAGAATATTTAAGAAAATGAATTGAATTGCAAATGCAAGATTTACAAATTTTTCAAAAATTTTCCGTCCTGTATCCTTAATAAATGAGTTATTTATTAATGAATTATTTAGACTAGAACTAGAATCAATGGTATTAAAGAATCCATTCCTTGATTTGTTTAAAATTCGATTGTTATAAAATCATGGCTAAGTACTAAAAAGAAAATGCGAAAAAAAATGGCATCAATTCCGAGATCAATCCAATGAAATGGGAATAAATCAGAAACTGTTAAAGATAGCT